CTCCAAATGGGGATTTACAAATGGGGAAATGCCCCCTCCCCACCAACTGGTCCGGGAAGGAAATGCCCCCCTCCCCACCAACTGGTCTGGGAAAGGAATAAAAAATTTCTTGGAGAGAAGTGGAAAAAGCTGTTTATTTAACAGAAATAGAATAATATTAAATAAAAACCTCTCACTGTTCGATGGGATAACCTGTCTAGGAAGAAAAGTCCTTTTCATGTGGTGTAGCTCGGCTCGCTCAGGTCCTCATCAGTCCTTTCGGCGCTGGAAAGTGCCGAGGCCCAGGCCCCGGTGGGCCAAAGGCGTGAGCTCCCAGGGTTTGGCTGGGTGTTCAGTCCAGAGCAGGCTTGCACAGATCCAAGAGAAAAAAAGGGGGGGAAAACAAACAAAGGTCCAGGGAACTCCTCTGCCTCAGCTAGCTAAAACTAACTAAAAGCCAGAGAAAAGCTCTGTCCCGCTGTCTGTCCGTGCTGCAGACACCACAGTCCAGGAGCGGGATGTGTGGGAGTGATGTTTTTCCTTAACACAAACTGCGCGCTTCTTCTTCTCCCTCTCTTGCTCTCAAAGCCAGTCTTAAAGGTGCAGAACTTAATATATAACATAAACCAGACGACTGGGGATATCAGTATCATAAAGTCACCCCAGGACATTCCACCCCTTATCCCCATATCGTCAACTTATTATCAAAATTAATATATATATATTTTAACTCTACAACACATACATTATATACAGACAAGGGCATTCATTCATGATCTTCACCCAACCATCAGATCTCCCTGAGGTACACACTGTGTTGTTCCATCTTTCCGCATTATCCACCATGTGCAACTCGGTCCCTGAGCAAAAACAACCCCATGAATGGGTTTGTCTGCACTCAAAGTAGAATTGATCCAAACTGTCTTTCCTAACAAACCTCTGAGATGTACCGCTGGGACTTTATCTCCGTGTACTATATGCAGGGGCTCGGATTGGGCTGGGCCTCGATTGTTAACTATCCAGGTGGCCTTTGCTAGATGCTGCTCCCAATTTTTGAAAGATCCCCCACCCAACGCTTTCAAGGTAGTCTTTAACAGTCCATTGTACCTCTCCACTTTCCCTGCAGCAGGTGCATGGTAGGGGATATGGTACACCCACTCAATGCCATGTTCCCTAGCCCAGGTGTTTATAAGGTTATTCTTGAAATGAGTCCCATTGTCTGACTCAATCCTCTCAGGGGTGCATTGCCTCCAAAGGACCTGTTTTTCAAGTCCCAGGATGGTGTTACGGGCCGTAGCATGAGGCACAGGGTAGGCTTCCAACCATCCAGTGGTGGCTTCTACCATCGTGAGCACATAGCGCTTGCCTTGGCGGGTTTGAGGCAGTGTGATGTAGTCAATCTGCCAGGCTATCATAAAGTCACCCCAGGACAAAGACTCAGTTGCCCCTTGCTTAATATTGGTGAAGCACTGCGTCGGCACTTTGTCATCAGGGGTGGTAAAAAGATATCTTGGCAGCATTGGCAATATCCTGTAAGGCTTCTTCAGGCAGATCCCGGGCCTGATCTCGGGGCTTTTGGAAATCACCTTCTCCCGCTAATTGCTCCAAAGTAAAATTAGGTTGGTTGGCATCTTTAGCATAAACCTCTGCCAATTGTTTTAAATGTTTTTTCCGCTGCCATAACATGTACTCTGCTGGGGAGAGAAGGCAGTTCATAATATTTTTTATGTCATGGGGGAACATGACGTGGGCAGTGAAGGAGGCTTCCAGCAAGTGTTTGAAAAAACGTGAGCCCCAGTCATGTCCTTCAGCAGCCTTACAAAGTTCCTGCAGTTCCCTATAGTGAAGGGACTCCCATGCAGCAACCTGTGCCCCTGTCCTGTCTCTCCTCATTATTACAGGAAAAGCAAGTATTTTCCGGGACAGAGATGAGTTCCCCGCCCTTGTGGCTTCCCTCTGCACCTCAGCCCAGTGGTCTTCATATTCAGAATCTGAATAGGAAGATTCACTGCTCTCATCCCCTTGTGGAGATGGGGGCGCTTGATGATAGCGCGGGGCCGACTCGGGTGCCTAGGGTTGGCCCCTTTGTGATTCATGGTCCCGGGGTGTTGGGACCCTGGAGCGGGCGTGTCATTGGGGGTGGGGCCCTGGCGTGAAGGGGCAGCACCGGAGTCCACGACGGGGAGGGGTTTCCCAATGGATGGGACGGGGCCCGACGTGGTTACACCCAACCCCGCAGTGGGAGGGGGGGAGGAGCAGGGCACAGCAGGAAGAGAAGGGGTAGAGGCGGGAAAGTGGCCATTTTGGGCTTTGAGGGCGGGAAAACCAGAGTGTGAGTGGGACAAATTGGTGGGGCTGGCCACGTTGCCGACGCCATCTGTGCTAACGCAAGGAAGTGGGAGGGACACAACCGGGTGTGAGGGCATAGGAGAGAGGGTAGAGGAAAGACCCAGAGCAGCATGGCAAGTTCCGCCCTGGTAAGGGTAGAGAGACGGTGGCGGGGCGTCAGGGAGATGGCAGCAACCCTGTGCCTGGAGGCTACGTCCACCTGCCGACTGCCCCTCAGATAGTGATGAGGGGTTAGGGGCGCTTGGAGAGGTTGACCGGGATGGAGGGTTCAACTGGGGACCCAAAACTCCCTCTTCTTTTTCCCCTCTTTTTCCAATGAGAAAATAATATTTTGAAACACAGGAAAAAATTTTGCAACAGAAAGGTCTCCCTTTGCTTGAATGGTATATAACTTTCTCCCCACATTATCCCAAAAAATTCCCGATTTAGCAGAATCCGCATTAATCTTAAAATGTTTAAAAACCCAATTAATAAATCTCTTTAAATCCCCTTTAGAAAACTTAAAATTTCCCCCTTTTAGGGTGCTTACAACTTGGATGTAAAAGTCCCTCTCAGGTGGTGTCAGCCTCGATGCGGAGGACTGATTTCCCATCCTTTTTCACTCCCCGCCCAGCAGTAAAACAGCAGAGAAAAAGAAAAAAGCCCGAAAAAACCCTTCACGGGATCGACTTACAATTTCTCTTCGACAGATGCCAGTGAGCAAACAAAAGTTGCTGGGTGGGTGGTCACCTGGGCGGCCGGTCCTCAGGGGCTTTTCTTCCTTGTCCCGTATGGTCAGCGAGGGTCCTGGACACAGCCTCGTGGATAGCCTCTTGCTACAATGCAAGGAGGCTTCCTCGAGGGGCGGCGGCTCGAAACAGCGGCGTACCTCACAGTTAAAGCTGTAGGCGGACACTTCTTCAGGGCTTTGTTCGAATGCCCCGTGGTAGGCGCCAGTTGCCGCGGCGACGGAGGGGGCCAGAGTGCCGCGACTTCTCTGGAGAAACAGCCCTTGATAGGGCTGGCCCGAAGCGCTGGTGCATCTTCAGCTAGGCGAGTGATTCCAGCTCGGTTCTTGCGGCTTGGCTCAGTGGCGGTGTGTAGGCAACACGGGAAGAAGGGACAAGAGAGCTGTTCTGGCGTTCTGCCAAGCACTAGCCTTTATTCAGGCAGGGCTTTTAGCGAAGGGAGCCGGCGACAGCTATTCCGCCAAACTCGGGGTATTTATAGGGAGAGAGAGGGGCGGGGGGAGACCAGGATACATGTATCGGGGTGGGATGGCAGGGGGGAACACCAATGGAGCACAACAGTTTAACATAACTAACTCAAAGATCCCTGGGAGCGATACACTCTCTCTCTCTTACAGCGAAGTGTCTTGTCTCCAGGGTAAAGCCAGGATCTCGAGACCTGTGGCCTCCTCCGTCCCCACATTATATGTTTGAAAAACTCGTGACCATTGTCCATTTTGAGTGGAGCCCCTCTCAGAGGCTTTGACTGCCCAAGGTGTACCTTTTGAAGGCCTTTAATAAATCCCTGCTTTTATTCTATTTACCTTGTCTAGCCTCTCTTCTAGGTAGCCACTCCAAGGCATCAGGCAGACAGGGCTGGAGGGGGTTGGAGGGGGTCTGGATGCCACCAGTCCCAAATCTCCTGACTGGACAGCAGCAGAGCCCACCATGCCCTTGCAGCCAGGGAGTGGCCTCTGACTGGGAAACCAGTGGGACAGGACAGGAGGGGACGGGAATGGGATGGGACAGGGATGGGATGGGATGGGATGGGATGGGATGGGATGGGATGGGATGGGATGGGATGGGATGGGATGGGACGGGACGGGACGGGACGGGACGGGAAGGGGACGGGACGGGACGGGACAGGACGGGACAGGACGGGAATGGGACGGGACGGGACGGGACGGGATGGGACAGGACGGGACGTGATGGGACGGGATGGAGAGTGCGGTGAAGATGGGGATGAGGAGTGATACCAAATCAGACAGAATAAAGTTATTAACACCAAGTAATGCCATTAGCAAGTGAAGCTTTAGGCAGCAGGACACGCAGAAGGATCCATCCTTATTTCTGTGTGTGCTGAGGCTTTACAACAGCATTTTTAACCATTACAACCACACGGAATCATTCAAAAGTTTTTCTTACCAAGTACATAAACACCATTTTCCTAGAACAAATTTCCATGCATCCACTTCCTACTGGGAGTCCTTTCGTGGTCCTGGAGGTTCATTGAGAGAGGTTTATGGTGGCTGCATTCACTGAGTGTTGTGATATTAAAGGTGACCTTGCCTTGAACTTTGCCTTTGCCCATGCGCTGTTGCTCCTTGTCACAGAACTTGCCCCAAAAATACTGTGGCCCTCCTTATCCCTTTCTCCATTGGCTCCAGTCACGTTTATCACCCTGGCTACGCATTTTTATGTCGTTTTATCTTTTTGGCCACTTGGCTTTTGAGCAACTTCAGGGGGGTTGAAAATGTGTATTCTCTGTTTTATATCAATCCCCTACTGAACAGCCCAACCCTCCCACCTCCCTCTCACACTCCACAATTTCCACCACCCTCCTCCCCTGCACATCTCATTTCTCTCCACTGAATCCTTCCCACTGCACGGAGCTGCTGAGGAGCTACATGGTCCATCCCTGGATCCTCCAAGCACTGACTCCCACCCACTCTGACTGCAGCCAGGGGCCACATCCCACCGCCTGCCCAGCGCCCATCCATGGAGGTGACCACTGTGTTTCCTCATTTTTCCACATTGACAAATGGACCAGTCCCGTGTGAGATCAGTGTCAGCGCAGTGATCATACATATTCTGACGCTGCTCATCTGCCTCTGTGGACTGGCTGGGACTGGGGCTGTCCTCTGGCTCCTCCACATTAATGCCATCACTGACTTCATCTTCAACCAGGCCATCACTGACTTCCTCTTCCTCATCTTCATGGTCCCTTCCACCCTGCTCTTCCTGCACGAGGAAGTGTCCTGCTCCACTATAATGTCTCAGATGTATTTTAGCTTGCTTTTCCAGCTCTCCCTGTTCTCCTACAACATAGGGCTGTACCGGCTGACATTCATCAGCTTTGAGAGGTGCAGAGCCATCCTCTGCCTGGTTTTCTGTGGTTGCCAACTTCCCCAGGGCCTGTTGTGGGTGGTGATAACTGCCCTGTTCTGGACCTTCTTCTTTGTTGCCATCATTGTCAATCCCATGGTGACTTCCCTGTGCCAGTCACAGGAACAGGAGCATTGCCAGGTGGCTCTCCTCTCCATGTCCTCAATTTCTTCCTGTTTGTTGCACCCATGCTCATTTCCAGCATAATTGTCTTCATTCATTTCAACCCTGGCTCCCAGCAGCAGGAACACAAGAGGCTCGACATCGTCATCTTCCTCGCTGCACTCTTCAGTCTGCCCCTCAGTCTCTTGTATTTACTGCGGCAGCTTGGGTACATGCTTGTGTCCACCGAGGTGATTTTTCTATTAACCTGCATCAACAGCAGCATCAAACCCTTCATCTACTTCTTGGTGGGGAGCTGGAGGGAAGACTACTCCTTGGGGAGCTGCTGGAGAGACTGCTCCACCGACAGCTGCAGGAGTCACATCTCCATGCAGTCCCTAAGGGAGGCCCTCCAGAGGGTGTTTGAGGAGCCAGAAGAAAACATTGACCCCAGCAATGAAAACAATGCCCCCAGTGATGAAAACATTGCCTCCAGTGATGAAAACACTGCCCCCAGAGATGAAAACACTGCCCCCAGAGATGCAAACACTGACCCCAGTGATGAAAACACTGCCTCCAGCAATGAAAACATTGACCCCAGCAATGAAAACAATGCCCCCAGTGATGAAAACATTGCCTCCAGTGATGAAAACACTGCCCCCAGAGATGCAAACACTGACCCCAGTGATGAAAACACTGCCTCCAGCAATGAAAACATTGACCCCAGCAATGAAAACAATGCCCCCAGTGATGAAAACATTGCCTCCAGTGATGAAAACACTGCCCCCAGAGATGCAAACACTGACCCCAGTGATGAAAACACTGCCTCCAGCAATGAAAACATTGACCCCAGCAATGAAAACACTCCCTTCAGTGATGATGCCATCATGGACACAGTGGCCTGAGCCTGTTGATCCCCTCTGCTGCTCTGCTGAAGGACCCTGGGACAGTGGCTGAGGGATTCCTTGAGTCACCTGATCAATAAATATCCACAGGATCACCCTCCCTGTGCTGGTGCATCCCCCACCCCCTTTTCAGGCCACACTGGGGTCTCCTACAGGCTTGTGAGGCCTCAGCTTTGAGGAGCAGCCCCTGGGCTCAGGTCCTCTGGCACTGATCAGAAATGCCCTCTGCTCCCAGGAACTGCTGCTGTCCAACAACCTGCTGAGGTTTGGTGAACAGCCTTGGAAATTATTTTACATCCCTGAATGGCACAACATCCCTGTTCTCACACTTCCACAGAAAGCAGCTGGCCCAAAGTGTGGCCAGGGTGAAACATTGTTGTGACTGAAGCCCATCTCTTGGGCTGTGAACAGCGAACACTGTGAACAGTGGTCCAAAAGGAGACCCTTGGAGCTCTGCTGGGCCCCAGCAGGGCTGGCCAGAACCTCCCTCACACTGGGGCCTCTTTGAGCTGGGATCTCTCCCATTTGCTGCCCTCAGGGATGCCCAAACAACGACAGATCCTAAACCGATACCCGCACTGCTCCAGGCTCAACCCTTGGCACAGCGAGGAGATGCAAAGGCATCCGGAGTGAGCATTTCACTGCCTCCAAGGGGAATTTCCCACAGGGACCTTGCACTGACTCTTTCTGTCTGGGTGCACACACTTGTGCATCTGCTACAGCAAATGTGGGAGAAATGCTGCTCTCTCAGGTGTTTTAGTACCTGAGGCATCTGAGCGAGCCAGGCCTGTAAGCGAGGTTAAGTCATGAGATACCATTTCAGCTAAATAGTGTTAAGTGTTATTTCTTTGCTAAATTATTCATTTTAAGGTACAAAAGCATGAATAGCTGGAAAAGCAGAGACACTGCTCATAGTGCTTGGTGGAGTGGGGCAGGAACAGGGCTCACATAGGGGAAAAGATGGCTCTGGAACAAGTCTGGAAGTTGTCTGGAGGGGTCCAGAAAAGTCAGAGGGTTTAAGAAGGGTCTGGAGGAGGTCAGAAAGGGTCTGGATGCCATTGATTCCAAATGTCCCACCTGGAGAGCAGAAGAACCCAATGTGCAGTGCTTCATGGAGTGGAGCAGCCATGGGATGCGATGGGATGGGATGGGATGGGATGGGATGGGATGGGATAGGATGGGATGGGATGGGGAGAGGGGTGGAGATGGGAACTGGGAGTGATACTGAAATCAGCTGGAATAAACTTTCAAACACAATGGGAAGCATTAGGAATCAGGAATTGTTTACCTCCACTGGACACACAGAAGGATCTCTCCTTGTTCTGAGTGTTGCAAGACTTTACAGCAGTGTTTTTATCCATTACAACCTTACATAATCATTAAAGGGTGTTTCTTATCTAACACATAAACATCACTTTCCTAGGACTCATTTCCATGAATTCACCTTCTTCTCCAAGTCCTTTCATGGTCCTGGAGGATCTTTAAGAGGGGTCTCTGGTTGTCCTGTTCCCTGAACGTTGTGATATTAAAGGTGACCTTGCCTTGAACTTTTCCTTTGGCCATGCGCTGTTGCTTCTTGATAGAGAACTCATCCCAAAACCACTGCAGGCCTCCTAATCTGCTTCTCCCCTGGCTCCAGCCACGTTTATCATCCTGTGTTCTCCTGCAGAGCACAGGGAGCTGGCCTTTCCTCCTTCCTCCTGGGTCCTAGAACTGTACAGCCAGGAGGAGCAGACACTGCCGGGGGTCCTGGGTGGAGCTGGGCAGGACTGGGGCTGTTGGGGATGGGAAAGGGGGCCCTGGGGTGTTGGAGGCAGTTTGAAGGGGACAGGAGAAGGTCAGAGGGGGCTGGAGGGGGTCTGGATGCCGGCAATCCCAAATCTCCCCACTGGAGGACAGCAGAACCTGACCGACCACGTTTGGAGTGGGGGAGCAGCTGCGGTCTGTGAAAGCTGTGGGATGTGATAGGAAGGGGTGAGGATGGAGAGGGGGTGGGGATGACGATGGGGAGAATGGGATGGGGATAGGATAGGGAGCAGCTCAGCTGTGCTTCCACGGACCCAGGGCAGGTTTTGGCAATGATCCTGGAGCCCTTCCCAGAGTGGGAGTTGCTTCTGAGAAGCACCCAGCTGCCTCACCAGCACTGCCAGCACTGCCAGCATTCCAGTGCCACCAGTACCACCAGCATCCCTCTGCTGCTGGAGGGACAATGACCCCTCATGAAATATAAATGAGAAATGGCAGAAACCTGCCAGGAGAGGGAAGGCAGTCAGAGAACTGGATGTTGTCAAGGGAAGGAGTGTTTCAAATCAGGAGGAAAAGAGGACCCATTCTATTCTTCAAGTGGAGCTTTGAAAAAACTCACTTCCTTTGTAGCGAAAAAAATCAAACAAAAACAAAAACAAACAAACAAACAAAAAACAAAAACAAACAAAAACAAACAAAAAAAACAGAACCAAACCAATGGAAATTAAAATCTAAATTAGCCAAAGATGCAATTTCCAAATCCCCCATGGCCCCCCAAGTCTTTGGGAAATAACACTGGGACAGGGCACAGAGAGAGCCAGCAGGACAGGAACGGGAAGCTCCTGGTGATCCAGGCACTTTCTCCTTCATGTTACTGACCTGGGAGGAGCCGCTTTAGGATATGGATCCCAAAGAAGCAAGAAGTACCAGGAAGCCCTGCTCATCTGGACAGACCCCCTTTGCCTGCTGCTGCCCCACAGTGAACAGGTCAGTGGAATGTTTTCCTTTCTCCCTACCCCTCTCCTCCAGCAGCTGCTCTGTTCTTGCCACCCTCTCCCGGTGACCGCAGGGCCCTCCCCAGGTGCTCCCCTCTCTGCCCTGTACTTCCCCTCTGCATCCCCTGCTGAACATCCCAACCCTCCCACCTCCCTTTCCCACCCCACCATTTCCACCACCCTCTTCCCCTGCATATCTGACTTCTCTCCACTGAATCCTTCCCATTGCAGGGTCCTGCTGAGTCGTGTGGTCCATCCCTGGACCCTCCAACCACTGACCCCCATCCGCTCTGACCACAGCCAGAGGCCACATCCCACTGCCTGCCCAGCACCCATCCATGGAGATGAGCACTGTGTCTTTATCTCCCACCTCACCCACAGAAGGAGATAATCTCTGTGAGACTGATGTGACCAACGTGGCCAGTTGTGACACCAACCTAGACAGTGTGACACTGCTCATCTGCTCACCTGTGGGCTGGCTGGGAACCGAGCTGTCATCAGCCTCCTTAACATTGGCTTCACCACTGACTTCATCTTCAATCTGGCTGTTGCCATCTTCCTCTTTCTCCTCCTCATGCTCCCATCCACATTGCTCCTCCTTGTAGACGATGTGTCCTGCTCTGCTACTTCTTCAAGTGGAGCTTTAAAAAATCACTTCCTTTGCAGAAAACAAAAAAACAAACAAAAACCAAACAAAAAAGTCCCACAACCAAACCAATGGAAGTGAAACTCTAATGTAGCCAAAGACGCAATTTCCTACTCCCCCGTGACCCCACCAAGTCTACCCCTGCTACTGCATCCTTGGGGTATTTGAGCTTCCTTTTCTAGCTGTCACTCTTGTGCTCCAGCGTGGGGCTGTACCATGTGGTGTTCATGAACATGATACGGTTATGTAGGCTCTTTAGCCTTGAATTTCTTCTTCTGCTGCTGCTGCTTGCTGTTTCTTTTCTGAGCATCTGCCATGCGTGGTGATGAGTTCCCTGTTGTTCATCGCTCTCAATCCAACAGTGCCTTCCCTGTGCCAGTTTCATGAACAGCACTGCCAGGTGCCTCGCATCTCCATGTGCAGCTTCCACCTCGTCCTCTTTGCTCCCTTATGCTCATTTACACTGTATTCTTCTGCATTCAGGGCACGTGTTTTTCAGAGAAGGGCAAGCCCAAAAAGCTCCACATTGTTATCTTCATCTCTCTCCACATCATTCTCCCCCTCAGCCTCTGGAATATCCTGCAGCAGCTCAGCTACACCATTCTGCCTTCCCAGGCTGATTTCCTGCTTGCCCGCATCAACCCTTTCATCTACTTCTTGGTAGAGACATGCTGGAAGAACTGCTCCATGGGGTTGCTCAGGGAATCTCTCCAGAGGGTCTTTGGGGAGCCAGAAGAAAACGCTGCTCGCAACAATGAAGCCACCAGGGACACGGCAGTCTGAGCCCGTTGATCCCTTCCACAGCACTGATGAGGCACCACGGGACAGAGGCTGAGGGATTCATTGAGTCACCTGATCAATAAACATCCACCAGATCACCCTCCCCACTTTATTCCTGCAGGAAAAGGGAGCAGGGGCACTGCCGAGGGCCATGTGGGAGGGATGCTCTGTGGACAGCACATTGGAGCATGGCTTTCCCTCCTCCCTCACACCTCCTAGAGCACTATTTCCCCAAATGGATTGTGCCCCACGTGGCTGTGGTACCAAAATTCCCCCTGGCACCTGGTTCCTGCATCCCACTGTGGTCTGATATCAATAAACAGCTTTGTTAATGCTGAGATGCCTTGGCCCCCTCTGCCCGCACTTCCCAGCTTCCTCTGGTTCCTGCTGCCAGCCGGGACTGTGGCTGGAGGGAGGGGACACAGCCATGGCTTGTGCTCCCTGGAGCAACCACGATCAGGACGTGCATGGACAGGATGGTCCAAGGGCTCAGCATTCCCCCATGACTGCTCCAAGAGTGTCACAGCAGAGATGTCCCTGGTCCCAGGTGGCACGGGGCAGGAGCTGGGCTGGCAGGAGGAAGGCAGCCCTGGGGGGGTCTGGGCATGTCAGAGGGGTCAGGAGGGGTCTGGAAGGGTCTGGATGCTCTTGATCCCAAATGTCACACTTGGAGAGCAGCTGAGCCCAACAAGCAGTGCTTCAAGCCGGGGAGCAGCCATGGGATGGGATGGGATGGGATGGGATGGGATGGGATGGGATGGGATGGGATGGGATGCGATGGGATGCGATGCGATGCGATGCGATGCGATAGAGAATGCTGGCGATGGGGACTGGGGAGTGATACCAAAATCAGGCAAAATAAACTTTCTCACACAATAGGAGGCATGAGTAAGCAGGACACACAGAAGGATCTCTCCTTGTTCTGTGTGTGGTAATACTTTACAACAGTAAACAGAGCTGTAATATAATGCTTTACAACTTTGCAACAGAGGGTTATCCATTATAACCACACATAATCATTCAAAAGTTTTTCTTACCTAATACATAAATATCGTTTTCCTAAAATTAATTTCCATGTGTCCTCCTCCTACTGGAAGTCCTTTCATGACCCTGGAGGATCTTTAAGAGGGGTCTCTGATTGTCCTATTCACTGAACGTTGTGATATTAAAGGTAACCTTGCCTTGAACTTTGCCTTTGGCCATGTGCAGTTGCTTCTTGTCCCAAAACCACTGCAGGCCTCCTAATCTGCTTCTCCCCTGGCTGCAGCCACATTTATCATCCTGTGTGCCTGCCTTTACATCCTTTTATCTTTTTGGCCACTTGGTCTTTGAACAACTTCAGGAGAGTTGAAATTGTTCATTCGTTATGTTCTTTATCAATGCCCTGCCAAACAGCCCAACCCTCCCACCTCCCCCTCTCAGCCCACAATTTCCACCACCCTCCTCCCCTGCACATCTCATTTCTCTCCACTGAATCCTTCCCGCTGCAGGGAGCTGCTGAGGAGCTGCATGGTCCATTCCTGGATCCTTCAACCACTGACTCCCATCCACTCTGACCACAGCCAGGGGCCACATCCCACTGCCTGCCCAGTGCCCATCCATGGAGGTGAGCACCGTGTCCCCACCTCCCACCTCACCCACAGAAAGAGACGATCTCTGTGAGATTGATGTCACCAGTATGGCTGTAGACAGTGTCATGCTGCTCATCTGCCTCTGTGGTGTGGCTGGGAATGGGGCTATCCTCTTCGTCCTCCACAGAAACTCCATCACACTCTACATCTTCGACCTAGCCTTTGCTGACTTCCTCTTCCTCCTCCTCATGGTCCCCTCCACCCTGCTTTACCTGCTGGAGAACATGTCCTGCTCCAGCATCATGCCCCTGACTTACTTGAGGATACTTTTCCTGCTGTCACTGCTCCCCTACAACCTGGGGCTGTTCCTGCTGACGGCAGTCAGCATCTACAGGTGCACGTCCATCCTCTGCCCTCTCTGCTACCACAGGCATTGTTCCCAGCGCCTTTTGGAAGTGGTGAATGTCCTGTTATGGGCCCTGTGCATCGGTTTCATTGTCACAGTTACCTCTCTGTGCCTCTGCCAGGAGCACGAGCACTGCCAGGGAGCTCACATCTCCATGGACGCCCTCAACCTCCTGCTCTTTGCCCCAGCCATGGTCATTTCCAGCACAGTCCTCTTCATTAAGGTCAAGTCTGACCCCCATCAGCAGCAACCCAAGAGACTTGACATTGTTATCCTCTTCACTGTGCTCTTCTTCCTCCTCTTTGCTCTCCCCCTCAGCCTCTGCAATTTCCTGCAGCAGCTCGGCTACACCACTGTGTCCTCCCAGGTGGTTTTCCTGCTCACCTGCATCACAAGCAGCATCAAACCCTTCATCTACTTCTTGGTGGGGAGCTGGAGGAGGGACTGCTTCATGGAGAGCTGCAGGAGGCATTTCTCCATGCAGTCCCTAAGGAAGGCCCTTCACAGTGTCTTTGGGGAGCCGGAAGAGAACACTGCCCCCAGCAATGATGCCACCATGGGCACAGCGTTCTGAGTCTGTGATCCCTTCCACTGCTCTGCTGAAGGACCCCGGGACAGTGGCTGAGGGATTCCTTGAATCACCTGAGCCAGGAACTCTCCCATTTGCTGCACTCGGAGGATCCTTGAACTCCCACCGATCCTGGGCGGATCCCTCTACTCCTCGAGGCTCGACCCTCTGCCGGCGAGCAGCTGCAAAGGCATCCAGTGTGAGCATTACACTGCCTTTGAGGGGAATTTTTCTCAGGGACCTTGCAGTGACTGTTTGTCTGCGTCCACACACGCGTTCATATTTCTTGTTTCATTGACTGGATTTTCTTTGTAAAGTTTTTTTCTTTGTTGTGCCTGTCTGGTCAGCGCTGGAGCGAACCTGGCCAATGAGCTCCGTTGCGCTGTCGCTTAATATTAAACGTCTCTTTTAGTGATGCCCTTGGGGGTGGTTCTTTTAGCGATCACACACACTCATTTGGAACACTATCGCGGTGTAATCCTGCAGGAGAAGGGAGCAGCGGCACGTGGGAGGGATGCTCTGAGGGGAGCACAGGGGAGCTGGGCTTTCCTCCTCCCTCCCGGCTCCTAGAGCACCATGGCCAGGAGGAGCAGACGCTGCCGGGGGTCCGGGTGGAGCGGGGCAGGGCTGTTGGAGGAGAAAGGTGGCCCAGAGGGAGGGGGGTCTGGGGTGTCGGAGGAGTCTGGAAGGGTCAGGAGAGGGTAGGAAGGGGTCTGGATGGTGCCGATTCCAAATCTCCCCACTGGAGGACAGCAAAGAACACTGGAAGACAGCAGGCCACGCTCGGAGCAGGGGAGCCGCCGCCTCCCCTGTGGTGAGGATGGAGAGCGGGGGGGGGAGCAGGGATGAGGATGGGATGGGGACAGGCAGCAGGAAAGGGGAGTCGGGACGAGAATGGGATTGGAATATGGCGAGGAAGCTTAGCTGAGCGTCCTTGGGCCCAGGGCAGGATTTGGCAATGATCCCGGAGCTCTTCCCAGAATGCGAAATGCTTCTGACAAGAACCCAGCTGCTTCATCAGCACTGCCAGCACTGCCAGCATTCCAGTGCCACCAGCATCCCTCTGCTGCTGGAGGGACCGTGACCCCTCAGGGAGGAGAAAGGAGGAATGGCAGAAGCTGTCGAGAGAGGGAAGGCAGTTGGAGAATGGGACATTCTGCAGGGAAGTGGAATGTTTCTAATCTGCAGGAAATGATGAGCTAATTGCAAAATTCTGTTTGTGGAGCGTCTGGCAAAAGCCACTTCCTTAGTGGACAAAACCCCCAAAAAATCATGACAAATGACTCTGTAGAAGTGGAGCTCTGACGTAGCCAAAGATGCAATTTCCGACTCCCCTGTGACTCAACCAAGCCTTGGGGAGCAACACCGGGACAGGGCACAGAGAGAGCCAGCAGAACGGGAATGGGAAGCTCCTGGTGATCCGGGCACTTTCTCCTTCATGTTACTGACCTGGGAGGAGCCGCTTTAGGATATGGATCCCAAAGAAGCAAGAAGTACCAGGAAGTGCTGCTGATCTGGACAGACCCCCTTTGCCTGCTGCTGCCCCACAGTGAACAGGTCAGTGGAATGTTTTCCTTTCTCCCAGTGCCACCTTCCTCTCCTCCAGCAGCTGCTCTGTTCCTGCCACCCTCTCCCGGTGACCGCAGGGCCCTCCCCAGCTCCTCCCACTCCTGCCCCGCGCTTCCCTTCCATATCTCCTGCTGAACGTCCCAACCCTCCCACCTCCCTTTCCCACCCCACCATTTCCACCACCCTCTTCCCCTGCATATCTGACTTCTCTCCACTGAATCCTTCCCATTGCAGGGTCCTGCTGAGTCGTGTGGTCCATCCCTGGACCCTCCAACCACTGACCCCCATCCGCTCTGACCACAGCCAGAGGCCACATCCCACTGCCTGCCCAGCACCCATCCATGGAAGTGACCACTGTGTTCCCACCTCCTGCCTCACCCACCGAGGGAGACAATCTCTGTGAGACTGATGTCACTGATGTGGCCATAGACAGTGTGACACTGCTCATCTGCCTCTGTGGGCTGGTCGGGAACGGGGCTGTCATCTGCCTTCTCCAAAGGAACCCCACCACCTTTTATGCCATCAACCTGGCCTTTGCCAACTTCACCTTCCTCCACTTTGTGGTCCCTTCCACTCTGCTCTACCTGAAGGAGGAATTGTCCTGCTCCACTATCATGCCCCTGGTGTTCCTGAGGGCTCTTTTCCCACTCCTGCTGTTCTCCTACAACCTGGGGCTGTACCTGCTGACAGCCATCAGCATTGACAGGTGTATATCCATCCTCTACCCACTCTGGTACCACTGCCACCGTCCCAAGCGCCTGTCATGGGTGGTGTGTGCCCTGCTCTGGGCATTGTCCATCGCTGTCATTGCCATGGTGACTTCCCTGTGCCTGTCACATGAGCACGAGCACTGCCAGGTGGCTCTCATCTCCATGTATGCCCTCAACCTCTTCCTCTTTGCCCCAGCCATGGTCATTTCCAGCACAGTCCTCCTCACTAAGATCAAGTGTGGCTCCCAGCAGCAGCAACCCAAGAGACTCAACACTGTTACTTTCATTGTTGTGCTCTTCTTCCTTCTCTTTGCTCTCCCACTCAGCCTCTCCAATTTCCTGCAGCAGTTCGGCTACACCACTGTGTCCTCCCAGGTGGTTTTCCTGCTCACCTGCATCCACAGCACCATCAACCCTTTCATCTACTTCTTGGCAGGGAGGTGCTGGAGGTGCTGCTCCTTGGAGTCCCTCCGGCTCTCCCTCCAGAGGATCTTTGAGGAGCCAGAAGAAAACACTGCCCACATCAATGAAGCCACCAGGGACACAGCCAACCCAGCCTGTTGATCCCTTCCACTGCTCTGCTGAAGGACCTTGGCACAGAGGCTGAGGGTTTACTTGAGCCACCGGATTAATAAATATCCACAGGATCACCCTCTCTGTGGTGCTGTAATCCCGCAGGAGAAGGGAGCAGGGGCACTGCCGAGGGCCGTGTGGGAGGGATGCTCTGCGGGGAGCACATTTCCTCCTCTCTCACACCTCCTAGAACACTATTTCCCCAAATGGACCCTTCCCAACACGGCTGTGGTACCAAAATCCCCCTGGCACCTGGTTCCTGCATCCCACTGTGGTCTGATATCAATAAATAGCTTCGTTAATGCTGAGCTGCCTTGGCCCTCTCTGCCCGCACTTCCCAGCTTCCTCTGGTTCCTGCTGCCAGCCGGGACTGTGGCTGGAGGGAGGGGACACAGCCATGGCTTGTGCTCCCTGGAGCAACCACGATCCCGAGTGCCCAGAGCTGGGCTGGCACCGGCACAGCCGGCACAGACAGGATGGCCCAGGGGCTCGGCATTCCCCCCGCGACGGCCCCGAGAGTGTCACAGCAGAGATCTCCCCAAAGATCTTGAATTTTTAATTTTGTGAGCCAGGTGCAAAGGGCTCTGCCTTCAGAAATTCTTCCTCTCCACTTCCTTCAGCCGCACCCTCAGCAGGCTCGGATGGTGCAGCAGCAAGGAGAGGAGGAAGCCGCGGTCCTCAGCACGGCCACCCCCTTCCAGGAGCAGGGTGACATCCGTGTTTGTCACCGGGGGCCCCGCGGAGCATCACCCACCTCCCTGTGCCTTGGCTGGGGTCACCACACCCCACACCTTTTCTCCAGCCCCACCACATCCCACACATTACCACGAGTCCCACCACATCTCACACCTTCCCACTACGTCCAACACCGTCCCAAACCTGCCCCACAACCCCCCCACTCCACTCCCCCATGCAGCCCACCCACCTCCCGTCCTTCCCATCCCTCCTAGCCCCATGCCTCAGGCTCCAGTCCCTCCCCCGGGGCTGCTCACCCCGGGCTGCCTCATACGGTTTTTGGGGACTGTTCCTCTGGGAGATCCCCCTTCAGAGCTTCCCCCGCCGTGTCCCGCCCCCCAGCATCCCTTGGAGAGGGATAAGAGGCGACAGCGGGATGGATCCAGCAGCGTTTATTGGGGCGGAGGAGCGTGGAATGGCCAGGAGTGGAGACACTGCAGGGGATCCCGGGGGGACCGGGGCAGGAGCGGGGCTGTCAGGGTAGAAGGTGTCCCCTGGGAGAGATCTGGGATGTCAGAGGCGATCAGGAAGGATCTGGCTGCCGGCAATCCCAAATATTCCCACCGGAGGGCAGCAGAGCCCGACGGGCCGTGCTCGGAGCGGACGCGTGCTGGGAAGCGGGCGGGATGAGATGGGATGGGATGGGATGGGATGGGATGGGATGGGATGGGATGGGATGGGATGGGATGGGATGGGATGGGATGGGATGGGATGGGATGGGATGGGATG